ATACAGGTATTTGTGTGGACATATGCCTATTTCTTTTGGGCATATACCTAGGAATGGAATTTGTTTGTGGGTTATATAGTGACTATATGTTTAACCTTTAGAATAACTTCCACACTGTTTTCCATAGTGGCTGTACATGTATCCTTTCACAATCCCAGCAGTGTATGAAGTTTCCAGTTTCTCCACATCCTCACCAACAGTTGTCATCTGGCTTTATAGTCATCCTAGTGGGTGTAAAGTTGTATCTCATTTTGGTTCTCATTTGCATTTCCTCAGCGGCTGATAATGTCAAACAACTTTTCATGTACAGTACATATTTGCCATTTATGTATTTTCTTTGGAGAAATGTCTCTTCAAACTGGTTGCCCATTTTTCAATTAGGTGATCTTTTTCTTAAGCTGTAAGAGGAGGTCATATTATATTCTGGGTACAAGTTCCTTACTAGGTATATGATTTGCAAATATTTATATTTTCTCTCATTCTTTGGTGACTTCTCATGTTTTTGATGGTGTCCTTTGATAGACAAAAGTTTTTCATTTTGATGAAGTCCAATTTTATGTATCTCTTGTTGCTCATGCTTTTTGTATCATATCAAATTTGATACTATATCAAAGCTTTCCCTAATCCAAGGCCACAAAGTTTTATGTCCATATTTGATTTTAAGAGCTTTATACTACTAATCTGTTAAATGCAGATTATAGTATCAGTTTTGTGTCATATGTGAGTAGAGGGTTCCAGCTTTATTCTTTTGCTGGCACATATCCAGTTGTCACAACACAATTTGTCAAAAAGAATAGTCCTTTCCTCCAGTGAATTGTCTTGCCACCCTTTTTGAAAATCAATTGATCGTAAATATGAAGATTTATTTATGAACTTGCAATTCTGTTCCATTAACCTAGATGTCGGTCCTTATGCTTGTCCCACATTGTCTTGATTACTGTATATTCGTATTAAGTTTCAGAATCAGGAATGGAGACTCTCCCCAACTTGTTCTTTTCTTTTTAAGCTTGTTTTGGCTCTTCTGGGTTCCTGGCATTTCTATATAAATTGTAAGGTAACCTTCCAATTTCTGCAGAAAAGGTAGCTAGAACTTTAAGAAGAATTATATGGACTCTCTAGACCAACTTGAGGACTGTTGCCATCTTAATATTAATTCTTTTAGTCTATAAGCATGGATGTATTTCCATTTATTTAGGTCTTTATTTTAATGCTATTTGTGGTTTTCATTGTACCAATTTTATGCCTGTCACATTTATTCCTATTTTATTCTTTAGCAAAAAGTATTTTCTTTTTTTTTTTTTTTTTTTTTTTTCCTTGCTCTAGTGTATAGAAATAAAACTGATTTTTGTGTATTGGCTTTGTCTTTTAGCCTTATTCACCTCATTGATTCTAATGATGATTTTTTTGTGTGGGTTCCTCAGGATTTTCTATATACAAAATCATGTCATCTGCCAATATAGTTTTACTTGTTCCAGTCTGGGTGCTGTTTATGTCTTTGCATTGTCTAATTGCCTCAACTAGAACCTGCAGTATAATGTGTAATAGTGTAATAGAAGTGACAAAAGTGGACATTTTTGTCTTGTTCATCATTTTAGGGAGAAAGGAGAAAGCATTCAATCTTTCCATTTTAGCTGTGGGTTTTTCTTTCATCAGATTGGAGAAGTTCCCTTCTGTTCCTACTTTGTGGGCTTTTTATCAAGAAAGGGTGCTAAATCTTGCCAAATGCTTTTTCTTTGTTGATGGGTCATACGATTTTTGTTTTTTATTGTTTTCTATTGATAATGATTCATTGATTTTCATGCATTGAACCAACATTGTATCATGTGGTAAATTCCATTTGGTCATGATGTATACCATCTTTTTTATATACTTCCAGATTCAGTTGCTTGTAGTTTGTAAGGATTTTTGCATCTATATTTATAAGGGATGTTGGTCTATAGTTTTCATTTCTTGTGATGTCATTGTCTAGCTTTGATATAATATGGGACTTATAGAATTAGTTGTGTAACATTCTTTCCTTTTTCATTGTTTTGGAAGAGTATGTGAAGGATTAGTTATAATTTTTTCAATGTTTGATGAAATTCACCCATGAAGCCATTTGACCCTGAGCTTTTCTTTGTAGGAAGTTTTGATTATTAATTCAGTCTCTTTACTTGTTATAGGTCAACTTGGATTTTTATTTTTTAATCAGTTTCAGGATTTCTGCAGGATTCATAGTAATATTTTTTTTTCATTTCTGATTTTAGAAATTTCAGTCTTCTTTTATTCTTAGTCTTTGTAAAGATTTGCCAGTTTTGTTGATCTGTTCAGACAACCAAATTTTGCCTTTGCTGATTTTGTGTTTTTTCTGCTTTCTAATTTTTGCTATAATCTTTATAATTTCCTTCTTTCTATTTATACTTTGGATTTATTTTATTCTCTTTCTCTGTGTGTGTGTTTTTTTTTTTAGGTAGAAAATTAAGTTATTGATTTGAGATCTTCTTTTTTAACATAGGCATTCACAGCTGTAAATTTCCCTCTAAGCAATGTTTTAGTTGCGTCCAAAAGTTTTTGGTATGCTGCGTTTTTGTTGTCATTTGTCTCAAAGTACTTTTGATTTGCGTGGGATTTTTTTTTTTTTTTTTTTTTTTTTTTTTTTTTTTTTTTTTTTTTTTTTTTTTTTTTTTTTTTTTTGTAAATAGGTTCAATGGTACATATCTCTGTAGATGGCTACAGAAACTTTAAAACTGTAATCCTGAATATACAGCTATGCAACACACCAATTAGCCAGATCTAAAATAATAAACTGGCTTCTTACCAAAACTATTCTGTTCCAACCCTTCTTCCCTCCACAGTGACCCTAAATCTTACATGAAAACAGTTACTGTGGCAGAACTGGAACCTATCTTTGTGACCCAAAGTAAAAACCAAAGAAGAAATAGCAATTCATTGGTTAGTTGGCGAAACCAAGCAATGCAGTGCCCTTCACTGTGCTGCTTCCTTTTACTCGTTTTGTCCTATTCTTCAGCGCATCCATGTTAGCTCTTAATACATTTGAATTAGCCATATGATTCAGCTCTTTAGAGCTCACCACAGCACTGATCTTTTCCCCATCACTAGCTTTTAAGACAATTGTCGAGGGGTTAAAGCCCTCCACGGAACCTTTTCTTAGAATGGGTTTAGTTCAACCATCATACGTCTTCAAGGTAATGAACATGCTACTGGACAATTGGCACTCTGGAAGAGCCTGGTCAGCTCTGTCTGTAACTGTGCTCTTGAACAGCACCATCTACTCTCAGAGTATTTTCTTTCACTTGTGATTGCTTATTTGATCCATTGGCTGTTTGGGAGTATATTGCTTATTTTCAAATTTCTAAAATTTTCTCTGTTATTAAATTAAGGCAATTTAACTTTCTTTATATATTACAAAATGATCCTAAAATAAAATAGAAAAACATTGATATTTTAGGTAGATAGGCTATGTTATAAATCCTGTTTTCTCTTTAACATTGGGATCTTTAGCTTAGTTAACAAATGAAATATTACTTTGTTGATTGTTTCTTTATTATTTGAAAAGCAGCTAAATTAAGAATTTTGACTATCACGAAAAAAATTACTTCTAAAAAATCACATCATGTAGTTGCTCAGTATAAAAGTTTAAGGAATCAATTGTAGTCAAACCTTCATGTTCTCATTTCTCTGTTCTGAAATATAAAGCAGTTGGAATATGTGGCAACATAGATTGTTTTTTGGAGTGTTGGTAGATAATAGGATTGTAGTTAAAATTCAGGTGAAAACTAACATTTCTCTAAGAATTAAAATTCCCTCAGCATGGAGGTAGGGGTAACACATGTACATATACATATTTATTTCAAGCAGCACACCCCTCTGTGTGGTTTCACAATAGGACTTCCCCCCCCTCAAAAAAAAAAAAAAAGCCCACTACTTTTTATAATTAATGTGCACAATGTTGAGCCAAGTCCTGTTATACATTTATTTGGGGAGTCAAAAGTTGCCTTAGAAGTTTTACTATACACCTTTGGTGAATAATTCCAGCAACCTTAAACATCATACACTTTAGAATATGAGTATGATGACTATCATAGCATCTTGAAGATTCTCAAAGATACTTTATAAACACTCTTCACAGTAGTCTAAGATGACTACTCTCAAGGTTGAGCCAGAAAACAAGGGGAGAAGGGAAGTCCTATTATACCTAATGATCTCATTTGACTCTTATTTTTGAGCATGAGTTTGAAGTTTATTTTGTTCTTAAAAAAGTTTTCTCTGTCTTATGCTTATTGAAAGTAGTCAGAACACTGTCATCTTTTATTTGGATTACTTTCTTAGTTTAATTTGGCGTACTTAATAATTCCATCAGTTATTCTGCAACTACTTAGCTAACAGAAGTAGGATACGTCTTATATCTGATCTATCCAAGCCCAGGGTAAGGCTAAGCTTGAAATAACACACTCAAAAATTACTTTTCTTCTTCAAAGCTAATGTTAACAAAGTTGTCAGAGAGTGCACCTTTGCAACAGTTTAAAAAATGGTAACCATTCCTAGCACAGACCAACTTGCAAAGAGTTGTGTCTCTGCAAGTATTCAAAGCTCTGAAATATCAGACAAAAGGATCTCCTACTTCTAAGTTTTGACTTGAGCTATTCAGTCTCTCATTCTCCCAGAAATAATATGTCGGGTCAGAGTAGAGAAAGTTAATAGACCATGATAATAATGAGGTGGCTAGCTCTACCCCTGAATTGTAAAATAAAACAATTAATAATTGGGAATATCGACAAACAGGAAGCTAAAAGAAAGGGTTGGTTTTGAGGTGTAAGGTACAGGATAGATAATTTGTGGGTGAAACTGCACTTTAAAAAATTGGTATTACAACTAAGAATAGGTGAACTTTGCTCACCTCTTGGGGCACTTAGGAAGTGTTAAAGTGGAAAGAAAGGATGTAATAGATTCCTAAGAGAGTGCTGGTCAGTTGAAAAGATACTTGCAACATGCCTCACACTTATTAACACTTAGCATAACTAGGAACTTCATTGAAGGGTCTGCTGCTAGGTAAATATATTTTGAGTTTCAAAGTGATTTTAAGAATCATATTTTTGGATACAAATTTTATGTTGGGGACTACCTCTTAAAATATTCCTCTAAGATACCAAGAAACTTTTTCTATTAAAGGGCCACATAATAAAGTTTTAGGCTTTTCAGTCCATACAGTCTGTCACAATTACTACCACCGTTTTAATGGGAAAGAAACCATCTATGATACGTAAACATGAGTATGACTGTGGTTCAATAAAACTTTATTTACAAAATTAAGAAACAGATCAGATTTGGCCATAGGCTGTAGTTTGCTGCACCAGGTAGAAAAATGTTAAGCTACCCTGTGTACTTTAGTTTATTTTTTATGCCCTACAATTTCTTTGTACAAAAATCTCAACATTATTTAGTTACTTCACGGAAACCAAGGGAAGATGAAAAAGATGGCCAGGCGTATAAGTTTGTGTCACGATCTGAGATGGAAGCAGATATTAAAGCTGGAAAGTATTTGGAACATGGGGAATATGAAGGAAATCTCTATGGAACCAAAATTGATTCTATTCTTGAGGTTGTCCAAACTGGACGGACTTGCATTCTGGATGTCAACCCACAGGTAAGCTGCTTTGATTCCAAAGCTGTTTTTTATATTTCGTTTTCTGTGGAGTTTTTTCATGTGTGTCAGGGGATGGTGAGTTGGGGTTGTTTGTTTTGTCAGGGTAGAAAGGTGGCTCTTTCTTTCTATTACCTTTGGGTGATAGAGAATGTTATTATGTATACATAGCTAGTTAAATAAATCTCTGAACAATTAGCCAACAGAGGCTTGGGTGGCAATAGAAACTGTGTGATTAGATCTACGGTGGAAGTTTAGTATGTATTTATTTACCTGTTCAGGTAATGCATAAATGCTTGTGTTAAGAAATGTTAAGTTTAAAACTTAAGTCTGCAATATAAAGAATAAAAAAATCACTCCACCTCCTACCTGACACACACGCATTACCTCTACATTATTCATTTTATTCTCACTCTGTGTTTCTCTCTCATCTACCCCTTCCCACTCCGCTGCACTCAGCCCAACGTCACTTCCGTACTCAGAGATAAGAATTGTTAATAGTTTCTTATGTATCTTTCTAGTAATTTTACTATGCCTTAAATACAAATATACATAAGGTAATGGGTTTTCTGTTTTTGTTGTTGTCTCTTTTTACATAAATGAAAAAAAAATTATATAGATTCTTCAGGGGTTTTATTATATAGTACTATTTCTTGAAGATATTTTTATGGTAGTTATGGAGCTTTTTTTCTTTGTAATTGCTATGTAGTACTTTATAGTATGAATATATATTCATTTATTTAACCACTGTCCAATTAATCAACATTGAAGTTATTTCTACTTTTTCAATATTAACAATTCTACAGTTTAACATAAAAAGAGTTTACATCACTCTTGATTTTTGGATCATTGTTTTGTACTTTGCTTTGTTCAAGAGGAACAGACTGAGTTCAGAACAAAATAAATGGATCATTATTTTAAGAAAGTACTATATGGAATGAGAAGGACAGAACGGGGATAGGTATTAAATTTTGTCCTTTAATCCACAGGACAAGTGCAAATAGTCTTTGATTTATACTAAAGGTAGCAGAATTCTGGTTCTCTATTATTATCTAAATTGGCTTATAATTATTCTTTTACACAGGCACTGAAAGTATTGAGGACATCAGAGTTCATGCCCTATGTCGTCTTCATTGCTGCTCCAGAGTTAGAGACGTTACGTGCCATGCACAAAGCTGTGGTGGATGCAGGAATTACTACCAAGCTTCTGACGGTGAGCTAGCCATGCAATTTTCCCTCTAAAATTTTTCCTTTTGTTTTGAGCATGTTTAACTTTTAGCTTTTTTTTTTTTTTTTTTTTTTTGAGGTAGAGTCTCCCTTTGTCACCTGGGCTGGAACAAAGTGGTGCAATCTTGGCTTATTGCAACCTCCATCTCCCAGGTTCAAGCAGTTCTCCTGCCTCAGTCCCCTAGGTAGCTGAGATTGCAGGTGTGCACCAATACAATAAAAATTTGTGTATTTTTAGTAGAGATGGGGTTTCAGAATGTTGACCAAGCTGGTCTCATCCTGACCTCAGGTAAACTGCCCACCTCGGCCTCTCAAAGATCTGGGATTACAGGCTTGAGCCACCATGCCTGGACATCTCTTATCTAATTATGTTTATGAAATAAACCTACTGTATAAGGTGCTACAGAATAAAAATTCGTTAGATGTAGTTAGATTCTGGAAAAGTATTCTTTTACTTGAAAATTATTGTTCACTTTATTTAAATCAAAAGTTTAGTTCTCCTTTGTAAAGTAAAATGGACCAATATTAAAATATACATATTAATTGAACCCCTTTATTTTGCTAGTGGGTAACTGGGCTCCAAGACCATTAGCAGTCATGTTTATTATATGGTTTATCATTGGTAGAGTCAGGTATTTTGATATTTAGTTTCTATTACATGTTTTCTCCTTTTTTTTTTTCCTTTTTCATTTATGGAAATTTAAAAATATGTACGAAAAGGAAAAAATGAGCCCCATATGCCCATCACCTGGCTTCAATAATCATGGCAATTTCTTGTTTTAATTAGACCCCTCCCCACTTCCTCCTCACCTTGAATTATTTTGAAGCAAATTTTTGATATAATGTCATCCATAAATACTTCAGTATTTATATCTGAAAGATAGACTTTTAAAATGTAATACCATTAATATACCATTAAATATGTTACTGTTATCTACATGCAGTCTATATTTGAATTCCCCCAAGGTTTTTTTTTTAAGTTGATTTGTTCAAATCAGGATTCAAACAAGATCAACATATTGAATTTGTTTGATGTCATCTAAATCTTTTTTCCAGCCTAATTCGGGTATAATTGACACACAATAAGCTCTACCTACCTAACGTGTCCAGCTTGATCAGTTTTGCCATATATTTGTACTCATGAACACCATTACAACCAAAATTTGAACATCTCCATCATCTCCACACATTAGCTTGTGCTCCTTTGTAACCTGCTCCCTGCACCCTTATCCCCACCACTCTCACCTTTCCTCTAACTGTACTTGATCATATGCCATGAAATCAGGTAGTATTAGTGTTCTTTTTCAAGTTGATATAGTCTCTATTTTCTGAATGTATGCAGCATCCTTATAATAAGTGTTCAATGTCTTTGCAGATTCTAACATTTGAGTCAGTTCTGGGTTGCTTTTGATTGAATTGTTTTTCTCTTTATTATGGGTGTATCTTCCTGCTTCTTTGCAATCCTGCTAACTCTTTTTGGATGCCATACGTTGTGAGCTTTGTTCTAGGATGCAGTTACTTGGAAACAGTTTGCTTTTTTCAGGTCTCACTTTTAAAATTAGGTAGGACCCAAGCAGTTCTCATTTTAGGGCCAGTTATTCCCCACAAATAAGGCAAGTCCCATTTGGTACTCTTACCACAGGACCTGTCAGTCATGAGGTTTTCTATTCTGGCTAAGGGGGAATAGGTACCATTTCTGGCTGGGTATGAGTACCTCTAATCCTTTCTGGGGGTTCTTTTTCAGCTTCAGGTCGTTGTACCTGTGTGCAGGTTGGTACTCAGCTGAATGCTGGAAGGAGACCTTCTGCAAATCTCCAAAGTCTGTCTGTGCTTCTCTTTGCCTCCAGCATTCTGTCCTGCAAACTCTTGCCACCTGGGTCTCCATGGACTCAGCTCTGTCCTCAGCTCAGTCCTATAGGCTCCTCTGGGATCATTCTCCCCAATCTAATGCCCAGAAACTCTTTCAAGCCAGTAAACTGGGGTAATCCTAAGACTCACTTCATTTGTTTTGTCTTTCTTGGATCTCTGTTTTTAATATTTTGATATATAGTGTCTTAAAAACTGTTGTTTCATACATTTTGTCAGTAAATTGTTAGGTGGGAGAGTTAGTCTGGTGCCTGTTATTTCACCTTGGCTAGAAGCAGACATCCCTTTAGTACCTCTTAATCCACCCTCCCTACCCTCTGTTTTCACATTGCAATTTAGTTGTTAAAATAAAATTAGATCATTTATCCTACAGCATGTTCCATAGTCTGGATTTTACCCATTCTGTCCCCATTGTACCATTTTCCTCTATCCCTTCTATTTCCTGTAAACTGATAGGTTGCTCTATTGGGTTGGTCAGACACAGATTCAGGTTATTCAGGTTTTTTATTGGTTTTGGTTGTTTTTTGAAAGAAAAATTCGTAAGTGGTACTTGTTTTATTACATCATGAGACATATGTCAGGCTCTTTTTTTGTTATAAGTTTAATCAGTTGGGGGTCAGAAGTTGTTAGCCTGATATATAAAGTTCCTCAGTAACTCTTTACTTACTGGTTTTAGCAAACTAGTGATCTTTGCCTTGGATAGATTATATTTTTAGAGATAGCAAAGTGGTAGTATTCTGAATTTGTCATTCCTTCTACATTTATAAACTAGAATTCTTGAAAAGAACTTTTTGTCATCAAGTAGTTGATTATTCTGAGGTTCATACAGGAAAGGCAGGATACATGTTTGATACTGTCCCTTTGTAGGTCAGCTTTCAGAATAATGAGTTTATTCCCCCAAGAGCCTCTATAGGTGTCAGGTGACCAGCTGCGGTTGGCTTTGTTTTTAGTTTCATGAGCGCATAAGTTCAGACTTATTTGATGTGCTTTACTCTGTGCAATGATTATTTTTATTGATGCTCAGATTGTCCCATCTTTGACCAATAGGAGCTTATTCTAGTTGGCCCTTGAGACCTTTTTTTTCATGACTCTGATAGTCTTGGATAGCTTCCTTGCTATCTGGTAGAACAAATGTTCCAGGCTCATCTTGTACATTTTCTATTCTAGGCCGAGAATCAGCCATTTTTCCAAGACACTTTGGTTTCTTTTAGGGTAAATGGTGTTTTAAGACCATGATACTAACAGTGCCCATTGTCACAGAGTTGATCATTGCTTCTTGCTAGACCTTTTTATGTAGACAGTAGCATATATGCTTTTCTCTTTGTATGTTTGAAGGAAAATATATCATGAATTCATTCTGATATTTTCCAATCAAATTCAAGATTACAGGATTTTTATTTTATATGTCTAATTCCTTTCTCTTATCCTGAATATCCCAGCTCTCAAAAACACTGGAAATGTTGGAATTAGACTATCAAGTAATTGCTCATTTGCTTTATTCCACAGTACAAACACAACATTATGGGAATAAGTATATCAACACAACCACCACCAGTATGATTACTGTGAACACCCCCAAACCCCCTACCTAGTTCTTTCTCTCTTTAGAGTATATCCAACTAAGTACATACAGTCAGATCACAATGTTTTAAAGTCACTTAAAGTACCTGCACTCTGTGAATTTAGCTCAGTTACTTTTTTTAATGTTTAAATTGCTGTGTCTTCAGCTACTGGGAGTCTATTCAGCTTGGCTTCTGAGTCTTTTTAACGCAATTCTAGTAGTGTTTGATGATTCCTTGCTTTCTCGTATGACAAGATGTTCCAGATTATTCTACATTTTCTGGCCAAGACCTGGAAGCAGCCATTAGAAGTCCTTGTTTCTTTTAGTGGGAGATAGTATTTAAAGATAATTCAGTCAGTAAGGGTGTACATTAAACTCAGTTGGACATTGTTTTTAGACCTTTTCAGTAGCCAGAGGTAGGAAATAATTTTTTCTTTTTTTAGAAAACATACATCATTAGTTCAGTTTGATAGTTTCAAATGAAATTTTACATTATTCTTACTTTTTTGGCTTTATGTTTGCCTTTTTTTCCCTCTTACCCTGAAAACCCTGGTTCCTGACGATATTAACATCATCTCTTATCTTACATGTATGTAAATATAAACTAAGTACACGTACACATATAATTTCTGAGTAATATCTGAATTAACAGTATGATTATTGAAAAGTTTTAAGTTTCAGGCTTTTATTAATTGTTCTTAGGATATGTCTCACTAGATTATTTTTTTTCCGTCAACTTTTAAGTTCTGGGGTTCATGTGCAGGATGTACAGGTTTGTTACATAGGTAAATGTGTGCCATGTTGGTTTGCGGCACAGATCAACCCATCACCTAGGTATTAAGCCCAGCACCTATTAGCTATTCTTCCTGATGATCTCCCTCCCCCATGCTCCCACCCTGACAGTCCCCAGTGTGTGTTATTTCCCGCCATGTGTCCATGTGTTCTCATCGTTCAGCTCTCACTTATGCCCCACTAGATATTCTTTTCTTTTAAAGTCACTGAAATAATTCCTTGTTGTATGGTTAAACCACCAACTTGAAACACCGGTTTATTTGTTTTATTTTGCTTCTGATTTTAAAGAATTGCTTTTTTAAATTTGAATTTAAATTTTGTTGTATAACTCTATACAACATTTGTATCACTCCAACATAAATCTTAAAACAAATCAAGCTTTTCTGTGCTCTCTACACTTTGTTTCCTTCCACCCACATAGGCTGCCATTGTTGGTAGCCATTTTACCATATTAGTTTCTAATATAAGCAAGTGTGCCTGTGTATCCGCCTTCCCCCTGTTTTATACACAAATAGTAGCTTATATACAAAATGTGTCTGCATTTTTCCATACCACTATATCCTGGAGACCACTCTGTAGCCAGAGAGAGAATCTTTATTCCTGTTCAATCTGTAGAGTATACTCCATTATTGTTAACAGGCTTTGTTTTTTAACAAACCAAATTGCTAATGGCTATAATTGGCAAGGATTGTTTTCAACTTGCACTGTGGCTTGTTTATACATCTATAATCAAATATATTTTAGTTGTTTCAAACTCATTTAGAAATCTCAGTATTAGCTGAAATGTAAGTATTAGGGTTCTTCAGATCTAGCAGTGAATCCAGTTCTCTCTCTACACTTTCTACACAAATGACATTCTTGGGTGCTTCCATCAACATCATTTACATTTATACCATTGTTCTGCTAATGATTTATAGGCAGTGAGCACAGACCTCAGAGCTCTGATTTTATAACAGTCACCTGCTGTACATCTCCACTTGAATGTCTCACAGATATCTTAAGCTAACCATATTACAAAGTAGCACACTTTGTTTCCCACAGAAATTATGCTCTCCCCACCCCTCAACTCTGCATCTTACACAGCCACCCATTTACCTAACTTAGAAACCTAAGAGCAGTTTTTGACTCATTCCTTTTCCTCCCTTTTCAAGTCCTGGATGATGTAAAAAGCTAATCCTGATGATTGTATCGCCGAAATAAATTTCCATTCTGGTGTCATTTTCATCTCCTCTGTTACCATCATCACCTTCTCTCTGACCTGGATTCCTGCCAGCAGTCTCCCTGCTTCCACTCATGTCATGTCACATTGTCACTCGGGGTTTTTCCATCTCGTAGGGGTCCTTCATGACCTACCTTGTTCCCCAGCCCTTCACCCATTCTGGTCTTCTTTCACTACCGTAAACATGCCAAGGTTGTTTCCTTCCTCTGGATTTTTCCCTGCTATTCGCTCTACCTGGATGCTGTGATCTCCTTATTTTCATTTAGTTCTCAGCTTAACTGTCATTTACTACTCAGTCTCTTTCCAATCACTTTATCTAAAGTAGATGTCTTAAAATTCTTTGTGCCTGTTTTGTTTCCTTCATGGTAATTATCACAACTTGCAATTTTTTATGTTTATTTCCTCTTTATTTCCTTCACTAAAGGATAGAAATCCTCTGTCTCATTCATTGTCATACCCACTGATTCTGAAACATAGTAGATATCTTAATAGGAACTCAATAAACATCTGTAGAATATGTAGAAGTACAGTAAAATTCAAAACACCATCTTATGAAAAGCTTTACTTGTTTATTTAGAACCCATTGCTTATGTACTCCCCACATCATTTCAAAATGACTAAAACTACTTTATGAAATATAAACAGTGTCTGGACAAAAACGTAAATAAAAGTATGTGAGTGTGTGTTTTGGTGGAGGATGGGTAGCATGTAAGATTAATCTTCAAAAAACACTTCTAAGATTCTCTGACCTTATCTTAAAGAGAGATAGCAAATTTGGCTTTGAGCTTAACAACCACTGCAAATTGAGTTCCATGATGTTCTGTACCTAGACCATAAGACAAAAAAATCTTTTGAAAAGGATGATACAGTTGAGCTGGAAACCAGTCACCTGCAGTAATTATGTTACCGTAGATTCATAGTCTTTCCATTAGAAACCTTATCCTAATATCAGTGAAACAGATGATGCAAAATACTCATAAATGTAAAGATGAGTGTTGTTGGAAAGACTAAGACGTGAACAGATGGCAGTGTCATCTTTAACACTCTTTATGGATTAGATTTGGAGGATTAATACCAGAATTACAAGAAATATATCTAACCTATTATATTCACTTCTAGTTGGACTTTGAGCAAGTAAATATGCATTGTAATACAAACATTTCCTTAAAAACTCTTCAACAGGACTCCGACTTGAAGAAAACAGTGGATGAAAGTGCACGGATTCAGAGAGCATACAATCACTATTTTGATTTGATCATCATAAATGACAATTTAGACAAAGCCTTTGAAAAACTACAGACTGCCATAGAGAAACTGAGAATGGAACCACAGTGGGTCCCAATCAGCTGGGTTTACTGATGATTCAGTAAGGTTAACAATGAAATTAAACTTTTAAAAAGTGACTGCAACAAATAAACCTCTACTGAGAAAATACATCACAGATAGAAGATATCTGCCAAGTCCAGGCATTTTTATGGTGTAGATTGAAATAACAGTACACTGTTCTGAATTTTTATATAAAATGTGATTGGGAAGGTGTACTAATATATAATTTATCTTAATTTTTCTAACTTTGTATGGATAATCTTTCTATTCATATCACATAAAGAAATGCGTTGAAGCATTTTGTATATGTTTTGATTTAGTACCCTTGCCTTTTTCATCAAAGGAATTTTCAAATCATTCACTCTAACATTGGTCTCACATTTTCACTGTGATAATGAATATTACTTGAAATAGTTTTGTAAAGCTGTCATTTAGTTCAGTATTCAAATAGTGAAGGGTTAGTCTTATCAGAAGAAAATAGTTACTGACCTTCCTTATAAATTTCTTACAAAAGCAGAATTTTAATGTCAGTGTTATAGCTAGTCTACTACCATCTAAATCTGATATCAAAAGTCTGATCAGTTTACATATTTTCATTATTTCAGAGATGTATGGCTATCCATTCTAATTTAAACAGATAGTTTTGTGTCTTCATTTCTATCTTTACTGAAAAATTGAAGAGCAATACCTTGCACTCTCTTATGAAGTTATTCTTTTTATTTGTTGCAGTGAGTGATATGCTGATGCTAACTAATTTAACATGTACACAGTAAGCTCTGGGGCTTGGAAGCAAGGTCATGCAGACTGAGAGAGTGCCTTATCCTGTAAAACCTTACAGCAAAATGACACTTGAAGAAAGTTTATTTTCACGTGTAAAAGTTTAACTGACAAAAGGAACCTACTACTTTAAACAGTGTTTTTATTAGAACATGGTCTGCAAATGTGTCATGAGTCTGCAAATTTTTGTTATGTTTAAAGATGCCTCTAAGTTTGCAGTTGGAGGTTTTTGTGAATAATCAATGTGCTTTTAGAAATGTGATGTGATCCTTAGGGTGCCTGTTCTGTCTGTTGTGTTGAGAACCAAATCCATTGAACAACTTAAAAAATTTGGAAATAATTGTCAGCTATTTTGTATACATACACACAAAATATATACATTATATAATATGTATATTATGTATTATATATATTAAATAATGTTTTGTATATTTTTTACATATCTGTTAAGAAATGTAGTTTTTTGTTTTTTGAGATGGAGTCTCTCCGTTGCCCAGGCTGGAGTGCAGTGGTGTGATCTTGGCTCTCTGCAGCCTCCACCTCCTGGGTTCATGAGATTCTCGTGCCTCAGCCTCCCAAGTTGCTGGGATTACAGGTGCACACCACCATTCCTGGCTAATTTTGTATTTTTAGTAGAGACAGGGTTTCACCATGTTGGTCAGGCTGGTCTCAAACTCCTGACCTCAAGTGATCCACCCACCTTGGTCTCCCAAAGTGCTGGGATTACAGGCATGAGCCATTGCGCCTGGACAAGAAACATACTTCTTGTTTAATGATTGTGGAAAGAAGTTCTCCTTTAGATGCATTGACTTGCATAAATTCCCACATACACCTCAGTTAATATCCTCCTTTACGATTCTTGGATAATAGAAATTCTTTGTAAAACATACTCAGAGATGCAGTTCATTATTAAATTACAGTAACCATATTCTATATTGTTGCTAGCTTTCCATTAAACACTATTCACACTTTAAAGGCTTAGGTACTTAAATATTGATGTTTATCTTTGTCTGGTGTTAGGCATCAGACACGTGACTGCTGAATTTGTTTTTTCCCTCATCAGAGTTGTCATATGGAATGCCAGCTGGGAGGACTTTGAGGGAAAAGAAAATAAATGACAAAAAGCAGTATTCACACATTGTTTAAAATATTTTTCATGATAAAATAAAACACCCAAGTTGTCATATTGTTAAAGTTGGAAAGCTATAGGTTTTTCTTTTTTTTAACTGTAGATTTCATGGCCAGAACACAAATTCACATTTCTTGTCCCTGGACAGGAAATTGGTAACAAAATGGATTGTACTATTTTAATAACTATGGAAACTTTTAAACTACATGTATTTACACCAAATTCTTGGCTTCTCAAAGCAACACAAATCAAAGCACAGTATCAAGGTGAGGCCCTATGACTTAGTGTTTCAACACACACTGGAAATTTTAAGAGAAATTTCAGTTCTGCAGTCTCAGGAATCATGCTGTATTGTCTAATATACTTTCAGGCTGCGGCATGGAGCCTCTTTAAACAGCTTTGGGATAATTATAGCAGCACAAAAAGGTTATCTGCAAAATATTTCAATTATCTTGGTACAATAGATGACTTTTACATCATGTATATTGTTAGCCTTATGTGATATAAAATGTATTACTTAGAAAATATACTTAAAGGAATTATTTCTATTATAAATGGTATTCATGATTAACTACTTAATTAATGCTCATTAGATTTCTCCTAATATAAAATGAAATGATGCAGTTTAGTTCATTTCAGTCTAGATGCCAATGCTAACAATAATATATTTGGATAAGTTTATTGTATGTCAATGAAGAATCATTGAACTTGAAACCCAAGTCCCATATGAATCTGCAGGAACAAGCAGTGCTCTGCTGGGGCAAGAAGCTCCAGAGGTCCCGGGTTCTTCCCAGGTAATCAGAGTATAGCTGTGATCAAAGAAATATGAACTTCTCTTTTGGGAAGATCTGAGGTGATTAGCGTTATAAAAGAGAAAATGGTTTAAAGTGATGTTGAGCAATTGGTAAGGGTTGAAATACACACATTCATGTGCTTTTGGGAAACATGATGTGCCAACACATTAATGTGCCTGAGGGTTCCTTGTGGACAGATGAGTGTCCACATTTCAGCACTCAGGGCATGACTGTACACAGCCTAAGACTATACATATATATTTTCATTTTCAAATGTACAAATATCCATAGAGGTGATGTTCCTAGATAAGTCACTTAACTATAACAGAGAAATAAATGTGATGGCCCTACAAAGTAGAATTTTCACTTTCATTACAGCCATGCCTTTATTATACAGTCTCCATTTCTGTGTAATATTTGGATATCACATATCAAATACATCAGGACGTTGTTTATTTTGGCTAACTTTATACAATTGCTGAACATAGCTTTCTGAAATAGAAATTGTATTAGAAACTCAGTATGCCTGCAGCAGTAGTAGCCTAATCCCTAGATTTTAGACTCTAATAAATTTATAGTAGTCTTTAAGAAGTTTCCTTTAAAGCAACAAATAGATTATTAAGGCAAATTTAGATAATATCCCAAGTTAGCAATAAAATACAACCGTGTGACATTATAGATTATGTCCAGTTACTAACTGCTTTGACCATAATATCCCAATGACAATAAAAAATGATCCTTGCTTTAAAAATTATTAAATGGTACATATTTTTATGTATAAGAAGTGTCATGATCCCAGTGATTGGAGTTGATTTTCACGGTGGATAGCCATAGAATTAGGTAAAATTATTTTGAATTGGCAAACTAAAGATAAAAATTTTGCAAATTGCTCAAAATAATAATCTACTTACATTTTACTTTTATAACTTCTGAAATAGCACTCCATTATCCAGAAATCGCATGCTAGACAGCCAATAATTTTATCAGTGAACCTTAGCTAAACATGAAAAAGGCAATCCTGAAGTTTTATGTACATAGTTCATTTTTAAAATGTTTGAGTTGCCATATATTATGTATGTATGTGTGTGTATATATATATATATATACACAGCTCTGTGTATAATATGTAAAGTTCTCCCAAAATACATGAATATAAAACTGAATGTATTCATTCATGTAATTTTAACTAGTATTCTAAAATTTTAAATTACTCCCATTTCTTAAACATTCTGAAAATTTTTTTAGTTTATTTTAAAAGGTTCTGGTTCCACCTTGAAGCTGATAATCTTTCTGAAAAATATATGAGAAGTTAAGCTCAGAAAGTAGTCATTATCATAATTTACTTTTCTTAAGGAAAAAGGGGAGGGTTTTGGATAGAAACCTCTTGGGAAATTTTAAAACTTTGGAATTAATCTGTAATATGATTTGGGCTGAGATTATGGTAACTGCCTTTGTCTTATTTCAAGAGGTTTGCTGTGAGAATTCCTGTAATAACATCTGTAATGTATCTAGAGTTCTGGGAGAAATTCATTCTTTTAAATAATGGAATTATAGTATATAATACAAATGAATACTCACAAAATTTAAGAATACATTTGAATAATAATTCAGCATCTGTCAGTTTTTATGCAGGTATATACCTGAGGAAGATGACAGTTCTGTAATTTTTTAAGGTAAGGTTATTTTTAAATTGCATTTTTGTTCTAGCCTTTTGCAATTTATAGTATTTTAAAAATATTTTTCATAATTCATGCTACATTCTGTGTTCTTGGAATGTTTTTTGAAAAATATACAGATTCAAATGTGTATCATGAGTCCTTAATATATTAAACGGTGAAAGAATGAGATTTCTAAAGTGAGAAGCATGGTTCACACCACTTTGGGAATACACTGCAGTACTTTAAAAAAAAAAAAAAAAAAAGTATTCTCTAGTGATAAAATTAAAGACAGGGTACTGGCCAAGATCCTAATTCTGACGTCTGTGTGATCTTTGATGAAATTTATATTTCCCTTTATCATTACTATTCTACTTGTTAAGTGAGGCTAAGTTAATATTTGTCTTCGCCTTAAATTTGTAACTGTGATGTGGCAAATGCTGAACTGAAAATTCTTTATTGAATTACTTTATCTGTTCTCTTTTATTTTACAGTGTACCTTTTTCTGAAGTAATGTAGTGAATGGTGAATACCACTCAGGAATTCTTGCAGTTTTAAAATAACCCCAAAGATACAGTTTCAGCCAGAAGAGGGTCTATTCTGCTCTCTTAGTCCTAATCAGAAAGTCCCTTTTAGCTTATGATCCCATATTAAAGCCAAACCCTTAGCAGATCTGTGCTGCCAACCAGATCACTCACAAATCAAACAAAATGTAAGCAAGCAATCCAGTACTCGGTTACACCAGAAGACTGTGAGCTTTGCCCCGGAAAACTGTCCTACTTTATTATCCTGAAATCACTGCAGGCATTTTTTTGACCCATACCATTAATTTTAAAAAGCCTCTATTTCTTTGTAGAAAGAAACATTCACAGTAAGGTCTAGTTAGTGAACCTTAAAATCCAGATTTTAATCCACTTTAGTTATTACTTTCTAATTGCTTCTCAGTCATTAGCTAATAGGGAGTGGTGTGATAAATTTGACTTATCGTCACATACAAAAGTTGGTGAGAAGGGATAGTTCTCTTCCTTTCTTTTTTCCCCTCCTGGCTCTTACTGTTTTCTGATCTCCAGTATAAATGGAATGAACACATCTATAGTTAAGGTAAATGCCCCTTATAAAATCAGAAGATTGAGTGATTTACTGCTTGTAAAACAACTGTTTTTGAATCCCATGAAATAGGTGATATCGCTAACACAGAACAGAAGCCAAAAAGGTCTTAAAATTAGATGTCTTTATTGTACTTCAGCCAACAGCAAGCCAGGAGTAGGAACATGTATAAATATGACAGGCCATATATGAAATTTGGCTCTCCTCCTATCCAAGTGTCTTGGGAGCTTGGAGGAAGCCTTAAACAGGAAAAAAGTATACTCATCTGATGTATGTAGGAACTCATCAGCTGTAAATTACCAACGTTAAACCAGAAGTCATTACCAGTTATGTGTGGTTTTCATCTTACCCTTGAATAGCAGAGGTGGACAGTAGTGTAAGTAACATTGCTTTAAAGACATGAAGCTTGTCCTGGTAAACATGGTCCAAATGAGAAGTGCCTCCATCGTTTCAGGTAGAATCAGATTTCAGGCATAAGCTTAGCTACATCTGTATTTGAAATACAGTATAAATATTTCTTATGTCTCTGTATCCTTTTTAAAAAAGAACTGCTTACTGGCTGTTTCTTCAGTAACATTGATTTTTTTTTTTTTTTTTAAAGTAGTATCTTGGACTGTGTTGTAAAAGAATGAGCACTGACTTTCAGCAATAAGTGCAATTTCTCCATGTTATGTTGAGCTCTGTTAGATTCTGTGATGAGTATTTGAGGTGAAACCTTGCTATGGGAATTTTTTATTCCTCCTCCACCCCCCACACCCCCGCCAGTTCATTTTGGTAAATCTTTTCTTTGAACACAGATGCATGCTTTTTTTAACCTCTAGTCTTTGAAGTGACTGTAGAAGAGAATTTTTAAAAAGGAGGGCAGAATGCTTGTTAGCAATCTGAAAATCAAAGCTGAACAAGCTGCTTAAGTTTCTGATTAAGAAGTTTAAAAATAAAAACTAATTGCTACTGCTTTCCAGGTAATTTGTATAACTGGTTTCTGTATAAAAGAAACATTATTGCTGTTGTTGTATAAATAAAATTTTCCTGCAGTACAATTAAGTATTGATTTTTCAGAAACTGACCCTATAAACCTTTTCACATAATTCCATGTGCTGTCCAAAACAAAAATAATTGAAATGTCTAATCCATGAGATTACATATTCCTGGTAAGATATTTTTGTATATATAAAGAAATAAATATTTACTCTTAGAAAAATGTGTTTCATTTATAGGTAGAACTAAGGTTTAGAGATAATGGAGAATATCTGATTAGCTTTGGTAATTTTATTTTACTGTTTGCCTTTTTTAACTTTTAGGTTTGGGGATACATGTGAAGGTTTTGTTACATAGGTAAACGTGTCCCAGAGGTTTATTGTACATATTATTTCATCATCCAGGTACTGAGCTTGTTACCCAAAAGTTAATCTTTTCTGCTCCTCTCCCTCCTCCCACCCTCCCCACTCAAATAGACCCACTTACAAGTGAGAACATGCAGCATTTGGTTTTCTGTTTTTGCATTAGTTCGCTAAGGATAATGGCCTCCAGCTCCATCCATATTCTTGTAAAAAACATCTCATTTTTATGGCTGCATAGTATTTCATGGTGTATATATATTACATTTTTTTTATCCAGTCTGTCATTGACAGGCATTTAGGTTGATTCCATGTCTTTGCTATTGTGAATAGTGCTGCAGTGAACATTTGCATGCATGTCTTTATGGTAGAATGATTTATATTCGTCTGGGTATATACCCAGTAATGGGATTGCTGGGTCAAATGGTTTAGCTCTTTGATGAATCTCATACTGCTTTCCATAGTGGTTGAACTAATACGCACTCCCACCAACAGGGGATGAGTGTTCCCTTTTCTCTGCAACCTTACCAGCATCTGATAGTTTTTGACTGTTTAATAGCCATTCTGACTGATGTGAGATGGTATCTCATTGTGGTTTTGATTTGCGTTTCTCTAATGATCAGTGATATTGAGCTATTCTACATCTGCTTGTTGGCCACATGCATGTCTTTGGAGAAGTGTCTGTTCGTGTCCTTTGCCCACTTCTTTTTAATGAAGGGAGGTTGCTTTTCTCTTGTAAATTTGAGTTCCTTATAGATGCTGAGTATTAGACCTTTGTCAGATGCATAGTCTGCAAATATTTTCTTCCATTCTGTAGGCTCTCTATTCTGTTCATAGTTTCTTTTGCTGTGGAGCAGCTCTTAATTAGATCCCACTTGTCAATTTTTGCTTTTGTTGCAGTTGGTTTCGGTGTCAGTGAATAATGGCACTTTTTAAAAAAGATTTAATGAGGAAGTTGGAGATACCTAGTTAGAAGAAACCTTTGGAGGCCCAATTCCATCTCACTGTAAGCACACCTAGCCCTGCCATGCCCACATCTCTACAGGTGTCTGCCAAGATGCCTGGCAGTAACATGAAGCTGGGAACAACTGTAGTAACATAAAGCTACCTTCTTTTTAATAGCTAGTTCTTAAAACAATCCAGCATGTCAACTGGCTGGTGTTAGAGCAGTTGTGCAACAGCAAGATCCCTCAGTTTACTGTGTGACGTAACCCGGACTTTCGGTGCTTGCTGGGATGCCGTCTTTCAATCGTAAGTCTTTCATTTTCATCTGGTTTTTGATTTGGAGGATAAGACATACAGAATTCTAGCAGGAATAGAAAGATAAAAAATCTTCTCTACCTCTTCTCCCAACCTCTAAGTTGCTCTCTCCCTAAAGGAGCCACCGTTAGATTTCATGTGAACTCTTTAAATGAAAACTTCTGTGCATATTGATAACATGTATACATCCATCTTTTTACATAAGTAAATTCATATTACGTCTGTTTGCAATTTAGTTGTACTTAAAAAACCGGAGAAAAGGTAGGTGCAATGCCACCATTTTAACACAACGGCTTTCACTTTTGCATATTCCTTTCCAGTTTGTATATAAGACATTTCTGTATAGTGGTTGCCACTTTATAGCCGCTATAAGCATTTCCATGAAGTCTTATTTTTAATAGCGGTGATGAAAGGGTTATTTGCTTTATTCTTCCTTGTTAACATTCATTAAAATCTGAAGGGAAGAAAGGGAATAAGTGGGTGATGTTGCAAGGAAAAAAGAATAGGTGCTGTGTTAACATGTTTCTTACCACTGCTACCCCTCATCCACAGAGGCTCAGATCCTGTCCATGGAATCAGGGACAGAGGGAGCCAGTCCAAGCTGTTTATAGAAGGATAGCAAAACAAGGAGAATCAAAAGCAAAACAGACATAGTTCAAAGTTTCCTTTAATAGAATACCCAGAATACATAAGAAATCAACATGTGCCAGACATAGAATTAGTATGTTCACCAAGGCATGGCAAGGTCAAATAAATGCATATAGCTAGGGTCCCAGGCAGGGATGCGTTGCTGTTAGATTTTTTAAAGTATGATTTTGGTTAGCAGAGGAATATACTCTTGAGTATTTACAATTTATTTTCCATCAAGTAACATACAGCACATCTAAAACGTAGCCTCTTGTGTGCAGAGAAATTGCCTTCCCACAGCATTCACAATGTAAAAAACTTTTGATTAAAGAATCAGCTCTTTCTGTGTAACAAAAAAGGTAGAATGCAAGAGACAGATGGATGTATTGTGCAGAAAAAAAATCTGAATGTATGCTAAGAATTCTCAGCCCTCCCAGCTCTTTAGGTGCCGGAACCTAACTCAGATGCTGGGTCACCAGCACAGGAGGGCCTCTGATAAGAAAAACTGTTTAAAGAGTACCTGGTGGCTAAAAATGAGGTCATTAATAATGCAAAATGTCACCACTTAAAAACTGTTTTGTAAATTTGTTTCATTGGTCAAGTTTTTAACATGCATCTGACCTTTAAGAATTCTGTAAAATACCCAGCTTTGGCCAATAACATGTACTTACAGTTCATACATGACATCATGAATGTTCTCTGCCTAAAGCACAGAGTCCATTCAGGGTTATACAAAGAAGTAGTGGGAAGATTTTAGAGTCCTTCAGAATGACGGCTTTCACAGATGACTTCAGTCTCTCCAGGCTAATGTCAGCTGAGGCAAACAAGCGCTGCACAATCCCAAACCTTTCTGTATCTTTTAGCGGAGCCAAAGTTGGGTCTTCAAGATCAGATACTCCATCATCAGACAGAGCACGAAGCTGAAATAATAAATTCACTTTAAAAATATTCTTAAAAATCTACATTGTTAGACAGTAATGCACTTCTAGGTAATTCTGCGGGGTGGGGGGGGAATCTGTCTTTTTTGTTGTTATTGAGACAGAGTCTCGCTCTGTTGCCCAGGCTGGTGTGCAGTGGTGCAATTTTGGATCACTGCAACCTCCACCTCCCGGGTTCAAGTGATTGTTTTGCCTTAGTCTCTCAAGTAGCTGGGACTACAGGTTCATGCCACCACACCCAGCTAATTTTTTTTGTTTTTAGTAGAGACCGGGTTTCACAATATTGGCCAGGCTGGTCTCAAACTCTCGACCCTCCTCAAAGTGCTGAGATTACAGGTGTAAGCCATCATGCCCGGCCAACTATGTCATTTTAAAAATTCCCCAAAAAATTGAGCAGGAAAATCCTTGAGGTGTAACATACAGTATATTTGATCCAGGGCAGGACCTCAGGCTGGATTCTATCCAATTTGCCTAGTTGTCCACTGTCTGAATCCCTACTCTCTGAACTCTTTCTACTAGTCCCATTAAGTCCAGCACATTAGAAAGGTCAGACTGTATCTTGCTCATATAAAATAGTATGTCTAATTTTTATTTTAATGAGGATAGTAGAATTTCTTATATATTTGCATGAATTCCTCAAAGGTAGGTACCATAGTTTAATTATGCTTCCTACCTCAAGAACCTTTTCCCTTGCTATTCCCTTCTTCCAAATTTCGGTATTGATCTCCCCTTCTCGTCACTCGGTTGTCAGCTGAAATGCCACATGGAGGGCCTTTCACAATCCCTTTCCATCGATCTACTCCCAACCCCAGAACTCAGCCTTACATTACTCCATTATGTTGTATCCACAAACTTCCTAAATCTTAAGTATTGTGCTTGATAGTGTTTACTCTGCTTTCCTTATTAAAACCCTAAGCTGCTCCTGAGACCAGGGACCTTGTCTGTCATGCTCGCCACTTGCCTTGCCTTGCGTACAACGCAGACACTCACTGTGTTCTTCACAGAGGTCACTCCGGATACCACTCTAGTTCTACCTGCTCAACACATACTTGAAATATTTGATTTGCTTTTAGGGTCTTGATCTGTGCCTGTAATACTTTTTCAAAAATCTTAAGCAATTACAAATATGCCAGTAGATTTCACTTTGAAACAGGCATTCAAGATCTGATTAATGTAGGAGTAAAATTTTAAATTAAAAATGAAATAAGCCTAGAAAGTATGCCTGAATTTTAAGAAATCTGAAGGGAATCCAAAAGAAAAAATTCCAGAAATGTCCTGAGCACTGGTGACTATTCTGAAAGTCATGCAGCTTGTCCAGGTGACTGAAGGGTAGCATTCACTGGAATGTAAAAGTACTTGTGTGTTTGTTACCAAAATCAGCCTCATGAACCTTGTAGATTTGCCAAATACAACTCATATTGTTACCATTAGGCTTAGACTGCAAACGATTGATTGTGCTTTAGAGAGTAGATTAGACCTGCTCTTTAAGCACAGCATCTCACCCCGGTGATTTAAGGAGGAGCCCCACTGGCGCAGGCCGGAGACTGTCAGCAGCCTGGCAGGCTCCCTGTCCTTACTGCCTGGTGGGCAAGAGCTGCACAGCATCCAGCTTCCTTCTCTAAATCTCCACCAGCCCCTTTGCCCATAGGTATTTCTAGGTATAAAGGGGAAACAGTGACCCAAAGGGTGGTGGA